AGAAGTTATTTTCCTTATTTGATAACAAAACAAAGCAATTCATTACCAATAATTAATGGATACATTTTTTTTTATTGATTCATGTTTTGGTAAGTACAAAAATAACTTGTTTAAAATTTCAACTTGATCGCCAAATGGGTTTGGGAAAAAAAATATGAGCAATTTTATAAGGTGGATCAAATTCTGTTCAATTATCTAGGCCTCTCAACGTCTAGGTAGTTTCTCGCTCTGGAAACCTAAACTAATTTTTGCTCAAATGATTGCTATATTATATAACTTTGACACTATACATATAATACAAGGCATGCAAGTTAATACATGGCATCAATCGCCTCTGTAAAAACATGTGAATGTATTAATTCATTAAATAAAGCATTAGCTGCCAGATTATTTAACGGATTGTTTCCATTTGGTTGTCACACTCAAAAAAGATTTCTCTTTACACACTTAGGGACTTGTTGTTAAACTCTAAGGGAAGTCTGTTACAAGTTATATTGCCTTTGGCGATTTAACGTTTGTCATACTTATTTGGTGTCGGCTGATACACACTATAAACTTGGACTGTTTGATACTATTTTTTTTTATCATAAATACAAAATATTTCATAATGTGTATGTCATTAGGGCCCATTTCAGGAAAGGGAAATATTTGGAGTTGTTGGAAATATTCACAGGTAAACGTGAGAAAGTTCCCCAAAAGTTCAAAGTCGGCGACAAGGTGAACATCATCATCGATGTGGAGGCTGTCAAAAGGATGCAAGAAGATCATGGAGGCTGGAACGAAAAAATGATCAAAGTAACGTCTCTCATGTTTAAATTTGTTTTATCCACAGGGCCGGCCTTAGGCCTACGGGAACAAGGCAGATGCCTTTGGTCTCCGATTGGCTGGTGTCACAAACAGGACTGAAAAAAAACATTTTAGAGAAAAAGTATATAATTGGATCAAGTCTCAAACGTAGCAAAACTCTATGACTTGTCTTTTAGCCTAGGCTTGCTCTATCCATTAACAACTGAGCGCTGAGGGACCTTTCAGTATATACACAGACTATTCGTTGATTTGTTTTATATGTTTCGGATATTCTTTCATATTTCAAGATAATTTGCTTCCTAGTCCAAACCTCCCGCAGGTTGACGGGGAATGGGAGCGGGCAGGGTTGGAACTCCGGACGATACACAAGTCCGAATGACAATCTAGCAAGCAAACAGAGAGGTCCCTGGTTTGAATCCTGGTGAAGACTTGGATTTCTAATTTCGGAATCTTTAAGCGCCTCTTAGTCTACCCAGCTGTAATGGGCACCTGAAATTAGTTGGCGGTTGGTCGTTGTCCTGGCCACATGACACATGACACTTTCGTAAACAGAAACAGATGACCTTTACATCATTTGCCCTATAGACCACAGAGTCTGGAAGGGAAACTTTAATTTTTTTTACAAAGCTTCTATCAGCTCATTTTGTCTGCCTGGCTAAAAGTTTGTACTTGTTATTTCTCCAACACAATTATATTATTTACCTGACAACGCAAGAAAAAACAACAACAATTAGTTAATTAACTATTGGTAATACTTCTCATAGAAAATAATTGTAGATCAAAACCATATCTACTATTCACTGCACTTTTTAAAAGAAGTTCAGCGACTGGTACTAAATGCCAAGTATATTTTTCCTTTTTTTTTTTTGGAAGTGTGGGTTTAACATCAAAATCTCCTTGGTTGCGTTGGGACAGGTTAGGGTTTAACAGTTCTAAAACTATAATTAAAGTATAATAAAGATATGATCGGTGTAATATGTTGCCTTAAACTGACACATTAGGACTTTTTTTTTTTTTTGCCTTCTTTGTTTGATTTTCTTTTAGCTTTGTTTAGTTCTGTAAATTTTTTTGTTTGTTTCAGTATATGAAGAAAGTCGGTACGATCAAGAGTATTGATAGCTTTGGTGTTGTTATCGTGAAATACGATGATGATAAAAAGTTAGTCTGTAATCAGGATGTTTTAAATCTGGTAATTACATTTGTGCGTACGTTTGTTAATTGTTAAAAAGTGTTGTGGCATGAGGACATGGGGAATAATTTGAAGAAAGCCCAAATATTGAAATGCGAATATTAAGCTCTGAATGATAAACTCTGAATATTCAAGTTCGAATGTTAAACTCTTAATGCTCAACCTTAAATATTAATCTCTAAATGTTAAACTTTGAATTCTAAAGTCTGAATGTTAAACTCTGAAAAGTAAACTCTGAATGTTATCTTATCTTCTTCTTACCTTATATAATACAGACGTTACTTCAAAAAAGAAGATGATTACGTCCTACGCGTCATGCATTTAGTCATGCATGTTAACCAATGACTTAAATTCTGCCAAGTCACTGGTTTTCCTGGCTAGATCAGGCAACCCATTCCATGCCCTAATAGCACTAGGGAAGAAGGAGTATTTGTTAAAGTATGATTGATAAACTCGATATTATATTTTCATGAGCCTTTCACAAGCAGAGTGGTTACTACCTCAGCTTGAGGGGGATTAATCCATGAGTTCGAATTCAAGTCTCCCTCCCCCCTTTTTTTTCCCCAACTTGTCCAGTCACGTGATTGGATCGTAGCGTATTAAGAAAGCTAAAAACATTACGTTGAGCTAAATAAAAACAATTGGTCAAATATTTCTAATCTCACAGATTTATTACCTTTATTATTATCTAGATCTATTACACATTTAAGTACATACTGATCCAAACTAATTAATACAACGAGTAATATCAGCTTTGCTTTTTTTTTTTTTTAAGTATTTTGTATATGTCTTGTTAAGATTGCATTAACTTTATGTTCTTTTATTTAAGGTCTATTAAATGTGATAATGTTGCGTTATTAGAATAATACTTTTCTGATAAAGTTTCAATAGGAGATACACCGTAATACTTTTTTGATTAATCCAGTGTTTGACATTTAATGTGCTCTCCTGATGATCCACCTTGGTCAAACAAGTTCCGCTTCGCTCCACTGCTTTGGTTCCTTTCTGAATGGTTCATATATTTTCTAGGTCTGGTTAAACCCAGAGGTAAAGCAAGGACCCACCAGTAGCCAAGAACAGACAACTCCAAGCAGCTCTCAGCGAGATTCAGCGCAATCTAGCTCTGTGGATAAGATAGACGAGCACGACAGCAGTTGTGAGCTGAGAGTAGTCCAGCCCCAATGCAAGATTTGTCTTAGCCGTGACGCTAGTGTAGCCTTTGTCCCTTGTGGTCATCTGGTCAGCTGTCCTACATGCGCCGAAGGAGTGGACAAATGTCCAATCTGCAGAGAAGATATTAAACAATGGCTTCGGACATATATACAATAAAGAGAAACATAGAGTATAGTCTCTTTTTGTATTTATAATTCTAAATTTATTTTGCAGATTTCAAAAAGCAATAACAATTTAGATACTATTTTCTTTTAGATATTTGCAAAATTGTTTTTATAGTTTTTTTTTACTTTATTTGTTTTACTACTTTCTTATAGTATTATGTAATTATAAAATAATCTATTTAGTTCGTCCATCGTTATTTGATAATGATCATTAAGGGATACAGGTAGTCAAAATGCAAAATTTTTTACAGCTTGTTTAATTCACTTTTTTTTTAAATTTTTAATAGATAGATCTACTATTAAAATGTAATGTGAAATGTCAAAATAGTGTGAAAAAAATTTTTTTGGCTTTTGATGCTTAAAATAGTATTGAAATTACAATTTTTGAAGGTTTTAAAATAATATTTTTTCTTCAAAACTACTTGCTGGAATTCAATACAACTTGGTAAATATGTTCTTAATAGCTTACTTTATAATGTAGAATATAGAAATTCAAATTAAGTAATAAATGAATTTTTGTTAATTTTTTCTTTTTTTTTAAACTTAGATATAGATGTAAAGGAAGAGGAGTCGCGGAACACTTCTATCTCACTTGCTCTAAATCTCTACCTTTTTTGGAATAAGAATGCGTCAAGAGGTCCGGGGACAGGTGCTCAAGTGCTGTAGATGACCATTTCCGGTTCTAATGATGTCCACAGCACAGTGATGGTTGTTGCCAGTTCGTTTACTCTTTCTAGTATGACATTACGCGCAGCCTGGCAAATGAGGCTACATATGCCAGGTTGGACAAACCATACATTTGTAATGAAATTGATTTGGCAGATATTTTTTCTCATGGTTTAGCTTGCCAGTTAAGACCTTTTCCGCTGGGTGTGGCACATGTTAAAGCTACTGGAAGCTAATATAAATAGTTGGATGAGCCAGGCTACTAGAGATGGTACCCTCCAAGACTTAAAAATCTCTGCCGTATTAATCTACCGATAACTTATAATCTTTCTGTGAAAATAGATCCGCGTACTTTTCATGATAATTGAGCCGACGTGAACTCTAGCACATAATGATGCAACAATTTTGTTGTTCGGAATATGTTCATACACACTAAGCAATCCGAATGGCAGTTTTTGGCGGTCTAGCGATTCTAATGGGTAAAAACAGAACAGAAGTGAAATACAATTAAAATAGCAAGGACATATTAAGCCTACTAATAGAATCACTTAGCGAGGGTCTCACAAAAAAAGGGTACTAAACTCGTAATACTTTAACAGTTATATTGGAATTATAAACATATATTTATTTAAGTATGTACGCATGTTTAGTTTTTGTATGAGTTGGTATTAGTGCATGTAAATCTCTGACATCTGAAATCACATTATATATTTTATTTAGCTTTTTAATCCCTACTGTTTAAAGTATTTTTTTCAAGTGATTTAATTTTGTTTACAGACTATAAGAAGATTTATATTTGTTGCAATGAAATGTTAGTTTGATATGTACAGTGTACATTTGTGGCACCAACACTAGAATTTGTAAGTCTGTACAATTACACTGTTTAAGATATTTTAATATGGACTTATTTTAAACTTCATTTTTTATTATTTGACGACAATTATTATATATAGATGTATTTCATGATATGTAATCTTTAAATTTTTAATTAGCATTTTAGTTTCTTTTTCTTAAAGTAGTTTTAAAATATGTGTTTACATTTATTTAATATTAACATTAAACAGTTCAGTTATCTATTTCAATTAACCTAACTCGCAGTAGACTAAAGCACTTAATTTTCATTCCTATCGTAAGTTTACACTTTCAAATATTTTATTGTAACAAGTAAAGTTCCCCTTTCAGACCTTGCGGTATATAAGGCAGATGATGTGAAGGTCATGAGTTTCTGTGGGTACCTATTATACTGGGTGAGCTCACAGGCGCACAACGATCTCGAAACTAAAAATCAGTCTTCACCGAGATTCGAACCCTTCGGTTCGGAAGTCAAGCGCTCTACCACTCAGCCACTATGTCCCCTTTTAATGCAACTAGTTCTCATTAGTCCTATCGAGGTGAACTTTCATTCAGGAACTTTAGTACGTAACAAAATAAGTCATTAAGCTGCAGAAAGATTTAGTTCATTTATTATTGAATGAATTACAATATTTCATTCACCGTCAAAGAGCAACGGGGAAGTAATTATTTCTTACTACTGTTATTGCGTAATGGTACTGTCCCTTTTTGTAAATTGATGTTTTGGAACATAAAATAGGGAATGGATTACTTGTTTGTGACACGGGTAACTAAACCTTCTATTTAAACTAGGCAATGTTTTAATAGGACACTTTTATTGATACCATTTTATAATATTTATATATAAATATGTTTTGTTTTAATGAAATAAATATTGCTTAAGTAAATAATTGAAAAAAATGTCATTCTTTCTTTTCACTAAAGTTTTACTTGTTATGTAAAACTTATTTGAAATATATGTTTACGATGTTGATAGTGTCTAACGTGTTTATCTGTCTACCTACCTACCTATTTACCTACCTATCTATCTATCTCTCTCTCTCTCCCTCTCTCTCTCTCTCTATATATATATATATATATATATACATGCCTTGGGCATGACGGTGGTTTTTCATGAAAAAAATTCTTTGAAAGAAACAGAATCATGCAATTTGGAAAGCATATGGTCAAACTTGGGACAAAGTTAAGAACCACTGTTCTAGTGTGATCATAGGAAACTAGTTCATTTCATATGGCATTTACTGCTGTACCTAACTCTAATCATTACCATTTACCTAACTAAATCTCTGGGCTTCCACTTTATTGTAATTTTACAGTACGTATTTGCCCTTGGTATTAGCTGCGCAATCATAATCAACGGAGTTGATGACTCTGAGCTATTCTGGAAATCTATATAAACGTTAACAGGCTACCAGGAGTTTTTATGGTGTGACTGCAAAACATTTACATACACAATGTATTCAGTGTATATAAGCTTCGTTGTATTTATTGTTTCGTGCGGTAAGTTTTGTTAACATTGGATATAGTGTGGTAGCAAGGTACCCGTATGCCTTGGTTCGAGTATGTGATAGTGGGCTACATCCCGTATGTTAAGTGTTATAAAACTCAAATCTAGCCACATTTAAGTAAAACTACCATGTTATAAAACTCAAAACCAGCCATCTTTAAGTAAAACTACCATGTTATAAAACTCAAATCTCAAACTATGTAAGTAGAACTATTATGCTATAAAACTCAAATCTAGTCACCCTGTAACGAATTAATTTTATTTTTCCTTTGAAGAACACTTAAGAGTTCTTAATGTTCAATGGCCCATGCTCAACCTACAGTTGCTACGCCGCTGATTAGGTATATTCCTTTGTTAGGGGCTCTGCAAAGTAGAAACGACGTTTATTCTAAATGTGGAAGAGATCTAACAAAGTGATATAGCCTATGTTTGATTTCAACACATTCATAGCATTCTGTCCTTTATTAAGTATAAAATTGTACATTAGTGGCGATTTATCGGATGTTTTTGGCTTGCTTCAGTGATATTTGTACTTCAGACTAAAAAAAATGTAGAAAACACTTTCTGGATGTAGTAAAACGTGAATGATGGCTACATCGTGATGTTCCGGACTGTCGTATGAATGGTTCTGGGTTCGAACCTTACCTGCCACCAACCCTTGCACTCCTCCTAGAGGTTTCAGCAACGATGAAATAATGTTCAATTCTGAAAAATGTAAAGCAGAAGAACTGCTGAGATTTTTCAATTAAGTGAGATAGTGATATTTCCCTGATTCCTTGAATCCAAAGACACACCTTAATTTCTTTTAAACATATATCTAATTGATTAATATGGTATTGGAAAACTGTTTCAACTGTTAATAAATTAAAAGTGTAATAATTAGACTAAAACCATGGAAAAAATGAAATGCCAACACAAGTTAACAGCTTCTCAATTCTATGGAAAAGAGGTAGGTAAGGATACCCCTTTCAGACCTTGAAATCTATTGGAGCTACCTAAGTAGGGTGTTATCTGGCCAGCACAACGATCATAATCTGTCAGATGAGTATTTAAGTTGGATTGACTTGGCGTCCCGTGAAATTACAAAATAACTTGGATATGAAGTCAGATACCCCCAGTTCGGCAGCCAAGCGATTTGTCACCCACGATAGATTTCCTTCTATGGATCAAACATTTGTATTGTTAATGTAATTGAAACAAAATGTATTTCAGAGGGTTTGCACATTGCAAAGAGAGGTCAAGAGTGCACGGAGCTTAAAGAATGCATCTCCATCATTAGTGGCTTTGATCCAACTAACATCATGAGTGTCTTTTCCTTGACTGACCAAGACAATTACGATCAGTTCTGTCAGTAAGTAGGTCATCTAATCATTCTGCCAGTAAGAAGGTCATCGAATCATGCTGTCAGTAAGTAGATCATCAAATCATTCTGTCAGTAAGTAGGTCATTGAATCATTCTGTCAGTTAGTAGGTCATCGAATCATGCTGTACTGCGCATTACGACGGTTCGGTGCAGATCATGACACCTTGTGAATACGAGACAAAGTCTTGATCTACGAACAAGTCTGATAAGACTAGTCCAGTGTGAAAAGAAAGTCCTGAACAGTTGAATCTAGTACAAGTCCAGAACGAGGAGGAGACACTAGTACAGAGTCAGACATAGCGGTACAAGAGTTGATACGGCGGTACCGTTGTCACGGTTAAAAGTTTGTACATTCAAATTGAACAGTATTGCCTGTCGTGCGGTGCAGTATTATCTGAGGGGATAATAGCAACTGACCTCACAGATACCTCAGAGGACACTGATAATAAAGAGACTACACTGAATTTTGTTTCGCTTTAACGAAACTCGACCCTGGCACCGCCAGTGAATAAATACTTGTTCGTTTCTAACATAATAAATAACATCCACCCTCTTCTTATACAATAAATCTAATTATCCCCCTTTTAAAAAGTTTTGCTATTCGATTTTATAGAGTTGAAAATTTGGGTTCGTCATTGAGTAGCAGGATATCGATGCATTTATTCATACTGAGAAGTGTGTCATTTACAGGCTATATCGAATTGTATGTTTACCTCACAAAGTGAAATCAAGACGAATAGTATAATCTAAGTCATGCAAGGCACATCCATTAAACTTTCAGAATAACAAAATATCCCATGGAATATTAAATACAATAAATCAAAATTAGAGATTAGAGTACCAAAAGGAAGACATACTAATCTTTATAAATATTTTGACCTTCAGTTTGATCTTCTGTTTGTTTATAGAATATTTGATAAATTTTAATTTGACCGACTAGAAAACGTGTTTAATTGTTTCGTGTCTCAGGCAACAAGATGCGGTCCAGGTGTGTGTGGAGCACTATAAGGGCGATTGCGAGGATACTACAGCTGTGGCTGTAGCCAAAAGCTTTTGGATACGCTTGAGTTTCTGTGCTCGGACGAAGGAAATGATGGTTAGTTTTTCTTAATCTCTTCCTTTCTCTCTATCTCTCTCTTTCTCTCTATCTCTCTCTTTCTCTCTATCTCTCTCTTTCTCTCTATCTCTCTCTTTCTCTCTATCTCTCTCTTTCTCTCTATCTCTCTCTTTCTCTCTATCTCTCTCTTTCTCTCTATCTCTCTCTTTCTCTCTATCTCTCTCTTTCTCTCTATCTCTCTCTTTCTCTCTATCTCTCTCTTTCTCTCTATCTCTCTCTTTCTCTCTATCTCTCTCTTTCTCTCTATCTCTCTCTTTCTCTCTATCTCTCTCTTTCTCTCTATCTCTCTCTTTCTCTCTATCTCTCTCTTTCTCTCTATCTCTCTCTTTCTCTCTATCTCTCTCTTTCTCTCTATCTCTCTCTTTCTCTCTATCTCTCTCTTTCTCTCTATCTCTCTCTTTCTCTCTATCTCTCTCTTTCTCTCTATCTCTCTCTTTCTCTCTATCTCTCTCTTTCTCTCTATCTCTCTCTTTCTCTCTATCTCTCTCTTTCTTTCTCTTTTTCTCGTTTCATTTTTCTCTCTCTCTCTACATATATAAAGATTTAGCAAAAGTTTTAAAATAGACAATCGTGAAATAAATGAAAAAACAAACAAACATTAATTTGTGTCTGTTAACCAAAGAGCAATCTTTATGAGTCCAAAAACGATACTACACTATACCAATATTTGTGGTTAAGTACAGCCGTTGGTATTTGATGTGAAGATCAACTGTAGTGTCGGCTAAAGTCAAACCAAACTTTTAATTTAAAAACTGTCTAACAACATTGTTTCTTTAGATCCTATTGATAAATGGAAAGTACACACGTATTTAGATAACAAAACAGAAGTGAACAATATGAATGGGTAGAAGATGCTAGGAGAAAAACAAAATATTCACTTTTAATAGGCATAAGAGATTATGTATAGTAAATGATTTTAGTACAGTATGTGTATACCGGACGAGCATGGATAAATATGTAATTAGAACTATTATAAAATATTTTGTATTTAGAAGTGGTTCTAGTTTGATTGCATTATCTGTACTTTTTATAGATAAAGGAGTAATGTTTATAACAATCACACATATATATATATATAATAAACATCTTTATTGTTTCTCTAACGTTGTATGAAATAAGACTAGTGGCATCAATCAAAATATGTAATGACCTGAACGGTAAAGCGCTGGGGTTCGGGGTTCGAATCCTGGTGAAGACTGGGGTTTTCGATTTCGGGATTCTCTGTCGCCTCTGAGTCCACCCAGCTCTAATTGGGTAGCTGACATTAGTTGGGGAAAAGAAAAGGTGGTTGGTTGTTGTGTTGGCCACATGACACGCTCCTTAACCGTAGAGTACAGAAACAGATGACCTTTATGTAATCAGCACTACAGACCACACGGTCTGAAAAGCGAACTTTACTTTTTTTTACAAAAACATTTACACTGACCACAAACAATTTGGTTCATTCTTCAAAAGTAAATACTATCCCTAACTTTTAAAATCAAGTATTCTTCTCTCGTGTTCAGTTCTAACGACATTGTCCAACTCTCCATGTGCCAATGAGGAAGATGTGCAGAACTCGGCCTTAACCAACGTTCAGGTTTGTTTCGAAACATTTCAGACAGAGTTCCAGGTTCAAGCGCTAAAGGAAATAAGCGAAGGTCGATTTTTAGAAAACATCAACATGTGTCCGTAAGTTATTTTAATAAACTTCTAAATCTTTAAACGTCAATAATTTATTCTTTTGCAACTAATAAGAAAAATGGATGATCGCTTCTCAAATTAGTAATTTTAGAATATAGCATGGCTCAATGTATTTGCAGCCAGAAAACTTTAAATCTAAAATGGTCTAAAAGTAACTAGAATATTTGTGCTCAACATTTTTCATATTTTTAATGTAGAATTTCAGATGTATTGGGTACTTGTCGACCGAAGGCGTAGAATACGCCTCTATTTTGCAGGGCCGGCCTTAGACCACTGCAATCTTTGCGACCGCAGTGTTAATCTAAAACTACTTGAATATGATCACAAATGATGTAAACATCGTATTTCTCGACTCTCTTCCTGTCCATCCCCTTCCGGCTTCCACCTTTTTAATCTCACATCCATTCAATTTCCGAATTCGCACCATTTTCATTCACACCATGCTGCGCTACGACCGTAACACAGAAATAAAAGAGTGATTTTTTCCTTTACTTCTTCTTCTAGTCCAAACTCTTGAGCGAAGAATAGAATTATATATAGAGAGAGGATTTAAAATTAACAATAAATGTTAATATTCTAAGTTCTCTTTGAGAGCACTTTGATTGGGAAGATCCGATTTAAATTTAGAATCAATTAATCAGAGCAATTAGAACAAAGAGACATCGGAGAGGGGTGGGGATAATATAAAATGAAAAAACAACAACAACTAAATCAAGACTAGCATAGACACAAACCTCCTCCTCCTCTCTACAACTTAGAGATTAAAGATTATTTTTCTCTTACTCACTATTAAATGTTATATTTAAAAAGGATTATTTTTTACCCGCCGCCACCCCCTCAAATTCTTTTTTGTAGGAGTAATAATCCTGGCTCTGCAAATGTATAGATCTACTACACTTTATAATATTCAAATGATAGGCATTTAGATATAGACTTAGAAAATGTGGCTCTACATGTTCCAAAAGGTTCATTTATTAAACTCTTCCATGAATAATGATTTACATTCGGAAATACCAGAAGACGTATAGTCGGTCAAGATAGATATTGTCTCTCTATATATTAATGAGGATTCTATTTTTATCTGAATGCGCAGATTCTTGTCTACTCTAAAAACTTGCGTCAATGGTGCTCTGACCACTACATGCGGAGATGGATTAAGTCCAGTCATGGACAGACTGTGGGAGCTCAATCAGGCCTCTACCCCAGAACTGGTGGGCAACTGCTAATTTAGTACTTTACAAGATCGTAAGTATTTTCACAGCCATAGCTCCAAAGCTGTTGTTTTTTTTTTTACTAAGCTTATATAACTCTGTCTTTAAGTCTGTCTGGTGAAAAGTTTGTACACGTGAAATTTCCGACACGAAATCTCGGATAAACTGAAATTTTGCACAGATATTTCTTTTACATTACAACACAAGAATTATTACAAAAATATGAAATATTTAACCAACAATTTGTTATTTAATTATTTTTTTAGCATCTCGAACAAGGAAAAGAAATAGTACTTGCCTGAAGTGGTGGTATAAGTTGAACTGTACAAAATATTTAACCATATATGTTTTTGGACTAAACTTGTATGTCTGGGGCGCTCAGCTTCAAATGAAGATCTTTACGAACTAACTTCAAATGAAGATCTTTACGAACTAACTTCAAATAAAGATCTTTGCGAACTAACTTCAAATGAAGATCATTACGAACTAACTTCAAATGAAGATCATTACGAAACTAACTTCAAATGAAGATCATTATGAACTAACTTCAAATGAAGATCATTACGAACTAACTTCAAATGAAGATCTTTACGAACTAACTTTAAATGAAGATCATTACGAACTAACTTCAAATGAAGATCTTTACGAACTAACTTTAAATGAAGATCATTACGAACTAACTTCAAATGAAGATCATTACGAACTAACTTCAAATGAACCGCCATGACGACTTCCGGAGCGCAGACCAACCAATCAGGCAGCCATCTTTTGTTTTAAATCATTACCTACAAATTCATGATAAATCATCTTTTTAAAAGTTAATTAAACACTATTGATAAATAAATTAATAATCAAATTGTTTAATCATCCTCAGATCATCTTTTGATGTCAGAAACTGAAAACAAACTCTAACATCTAGACAGAATTTGAATACGTAGCAAAAAGGAAGTTTTGTGCGCTCTTTTTGTAATAGTAGGACTAATTTACGAAATTAAACATTCAAAAATATTAGCTAGTATTTTTTGGGGGGAAATAATAATAACGTACATATCTAGTTGATACACATCAAGAAACTCCGTTTAAAAAAATGATATTTGTATCATTTCACGGATAATTCAGGCCTTATATAGTTAGTGAACCGTCAATGACGGGATTTTTGTGTGGCTCCAAACGAAATAGAGAAACGAAACAATTTTTTTTTTAATTTACATATCGTATTCAAAATCCAAACTCTATCTATACCTACACTGATAAGTACATGAATTTCTTTTTGCACAATTTCCTAAGCGTCCAAATAGTGTTTCCTATGTTATGCCCTATTCTTACAGATGTCATAAGCCTTTAACAAAAAATTTATTTTGTATTCTTTGATGGTAGTGAGTGTCTTGAATAAGTATATAAATAGCATAACAATTTGTTTTAAAATAATTACTTCTTTATAAAGTTAATGATTGTCAATAATTACACATTTTATTTTCACTCATTTTGTCTGTTTGTCTCTTTTTCTTTGACGTAAAAGTTTGAACATGTTTTGATTTCTATTTCCCATTTTCGGATTAAGTTAAAACTTTGCCCATTTATTCATTAAACCTGAAAGACAAAAATTAGCCAATTAGTTAATCATTTAGTACTAATGAATTTATATTGTGTAACAGCAGAAAAAAAGATACATCTCGTAATTTTCATATAAATGGCAGTACTTAGAGGTGCTTTTTGTTAGATAATTTTTGTTTTTAAAATATTACTCTTTTTTTATGTTTGTTTTTTCATTCTATTTTTTCTTGCAATGCTACAATATTGCAAATAGTCTTTCCAGTGAGATTGCATAATCAGTTCTTCTATTGCAGTCTACCTCATTTGTGTTTGCAGACGCCAAAATTTCCATGACAGTCTATTATATTATTTCACACCTTGACCCAATACAAAGAGGAGAGTGCTGGAGTACCAACTCCAATCGTGTTCAAAATAGCCGAATTTAATTTTCAGATGGTTAATTTAAAAACAAAAATGACAACGGTCAACTGTGGCCAATTAGCTAGCAATTTGTATACATAAACTGCCACATTTCATAAGAAATCATTAGAGCCGTTCTCGATCTATGTGTTCACTCACAAATAAAAGTTTGCAACCTAAAAGGAGGAATTGTGAAAATCCTGCGTCTTGACAATGTCGTTTGATTAAATAATTAGCAGATTGTCAAGTTGTTTAATTAAGTCTTATCGTCATTCGCAACACATTTTTGACTTTTTTTTACCATATGCAACAGTTGGGACGCTTCTGACAAGGGCCGAGAGCTACACAGGCAGATGAGTAGACCAGACCGAAAGGACGCGTAGTGGGAGCTCTGCCGTGCTGAGCAGGCTGTCCTAGCTCAATTACGAATCGGGCACTGTCCAAAAGGCGTGTACTTTGGACGGTGGAAGGATAACCAGACACAAGGCGCCGCCACTGCGTCGAAGACGACGAGACAATAAAGCACATTCTTTATGAATGCCGAGCTCTGCATGGGGGACGTTTATGACAAATAATTGAGTGTGAGAATATTGGTCTATGTGCAGCAAAAGGTCTGTCCTTGTACGGGTGACAAGGCGACCTTACAACTCACTGCCCGCTTCCTCTTCCGTGATCTAAGGGAAGTAACTCTCAGCATGGTTCGTTACTATTAGGGTTTCTGATTCAACATATGCAAAATCGATTGGAATCGTCAACAGAGGTTATAGCGTCATTTCCAACTGAAGTATTCAAGTTATGTGTATCAATACAATGTAAGGCATGAAAAGATACATGACATGACGAAATACTATATGAAACAAATTTTAATTGGAAACACTCAGTTAAAAAACGTGGCCTTAAAATTATATTAAGCTTGGGATTCGGTAAGACTTTTTTTTGGAGGGAGGAAATTTCAGTTTTTTTTCTCTTTCCACACACACAAACCCAAGGCCCAACCGCATATGGTTCTTCAGAAATTTGATAAAGCGAAATATTCAGTTATTCCTCTAACGAAAAAAAGGTTGGCCAATTATCACATTTGCTATTCACAGCACTCTATTTTTACAAAGCATATATCAACTCACACTGTCTGTCTGCATAAATGTCTCTCTTTATGACTGTCTTGTAAAAAGTATGTTCACGTCATTATTCTCACACCCATTCTCGGATCAAGCTGAAACTTTCCACAATCATTCATCATTGGTGTAGACGAGACATGAAACAATTTTTAAAAAGTAACTAAATAGTCAATTAATTACTGATAATTGTTAATTTCATTTGATACCAACAATGGAAACTATTTGTTCAGTATTTACAGATATAGCTAAATTTTTTGGGTGTAGTCCCCCCTAAATAATTGCTAACGCTATTTCTCCCTCACGCATTCTCCGATAATATTGATACCTTAATCAATTATTTATTGTACCAAACAGAACACGAATCAATAAAAAAAAAATACCCAATTAGTCAATAAATTATTAGTAATTAATTATTTTGTTAGATATCGACTAAGGGAAATACTTGCACATTATTGATAAATATAGTTTTATGGTCGGAGTTTTTCCCCTTATATAAGCTGTTTTTTTAAAATAGGATTTTTTATATTTCGCTTGTTATGGAAATGGTTAAACTTAAGTCTACCCCCTCTTTGGATGGGCCTTTAACATACACCCAACCCCTGGCTACGCTTATGGAATTTGGAATTTGTATTGCTTAATTTTTTTTTTCGGTATTGACTTTTAACATCAAGCCCCCTTGCCTTTTGACTACGTTCGTGAAATTTGATGACTGGTCATTTTGATTTAGTTTTTGCATACCATATATCAACTCACTATGCACACGTTATTTCTCCCTCATTCATAGATGAAGTGGAAAATTTGAATGGCAATGTCTTCGAATGCGAAGACTAACGGTGCAGTGTTTCACATGACTACGAGAACCCAGTCGCGACATGGGTCCGCCGGTGGTCTATTTAAGTTTTTTTTTCACGTCTTCTGGGTCTCTCCTCAATAAGGGATTTCCTTTGGGTCTCAATTATTTATTGCACCTATCAAAACATAAATCAACCCAAGAAATAAAACAATTTGCTTGTTAATTATTAATAACTAATTATTGTGTTTGGTATCGAAAAAAGGACATAAATGCAACTTATTGAGAGATGTGGCTGTATATGTGCAGTCATTCCGCTTTTTACGTCTTTCACACGTTTTTTTTTCCAACACTTCCCATTGTAGGATCAAATGGCAATTTCACACAATTTTTATATTGTCGATGATAAAAGATGAACCAAACACAAAATTAACCAATAAGTAAACCAATGCGTGCTTGTTAAATATTGTTTTTAGTATAGAAAAAAGGAGCTTATTCCTGCAGTATAGTTATATATAGCCGTATTTTTATTAACTCTTTTCCTTAGGTAACCTTTTATATATATATTTTTAAATATTCTGCCTATTTCTTCGGCTGTTGGTTGAGTTCTCCTGATTTACTTGATGGAGTCCAGCGTCTGGTAGGATCACAGATTAGTGGGGAACACATTTCTGATGGGAGAGAATTGTATTTTGGAGGTAGTGGGTTGAAGTTCGAATCCACTCCTGACCTCCCTGGCTATGAATCGACCGTTGATGAAGTGACTATAGATGAAATGACTTGGGATGAAATGACTAAAGATGAAGTGACCAGGGATGAAGTGGCTAAAGACGAAGTAACCGGAGATGAAATGACAATGGATGAAGTGACAGACATTGAAGTGACCGGGGGATGAAATGCTCGGTCACACTGTCTATACAGCTATGATATATTATTTTCCTCAGCGACTTAATTTAATTTTGTTTTAAATTGAGAACATCATTTCATTTGCAATGTGATGATGTATAAAATATAAGTCAGACTCTCCTATCTGGTTGCCAAATTATAGTTTTATAGTTGGAACATAATGTTTTATTAACATTGAAGCTCCATTCTTAAGGGTGCCCAGTTAATGCAGCGCTTCCACTCTCTCTCTCTCTCTCTCTCTCTCTCTTATATATAAATATATAAAAATAACCATGCTTAAAAACGACAATTAAATTATTTCTTTACAAATATTTCCTGTTTCTGTTTCTGCGTGATGAGCACTAGCCCTATAAAAAGATAAGCCTTTTTGTGTTATCTATGATCTCACTTTTATAACTCAAAATTTTATCTATAAATGCTTTACACCTCATAAAGAACGTGTATTCATATGAAATCCAGCTCGCAGAACCTATCAATACACGATTTCTTGTGTTACTAATTAGAGTAGTAAGTATAGGGAGTGGAGTCTCTGGACGTACTTGAAAACGTGTGCTCGATTTGTTCAAACAAAAGAAATCTTATTTGTTTGTTTTTTTTAGTTGACACAGGCTAGGGGGAACAATTCTTTACTAAACTACGATTTACTTAAAATCAATTACAGATAAAAGTTTCTAACAAAACAAACTATGTAAAATGTGTGTATATCTTTAATTCCTATGGTCAAGATCCACAGGTGGGTCAGAGTGACACAGTAATATGGATGACTGCATGGTCGTGCTGTATGCACACTGGACAGTCATTAGGTCGTCTTGATGGTCCCAGGTTCATAACCTTCCCGCTGCCATCCCCTGTCGTCCTGCGGGAGGTTTTTAACTAGGAGGTGCATTTTCTTCAACTCTTAAAGAAACATCCAAAACATTTAAACATTTTACAAACATAGACGATTGGATGGACCCATGGGAAGGTGGATGACTGTATGGATACATGGAAGTGGAAAGTTGTGGATGGATGGAAAAAAGAGAAAATGGGATAACGGATGGTTGACAGGGTGGATGGATAATTAAATGGATTGATTTAACAGATGAATTAATGGATGGATGGATGGATAAATGGATAGGTGGATTGATTAAAAGATGAATGAGGAAACGGATGGTTGATAGGGTGGATAGTTCAATGGATTGTTTAACAGCTGCATTAATGGATGGATGGATTGACAGAAATGATAAATGTGAATGTGGACGGTTGACAGGGTGGATGGATAATTGAATGGATGGATAAACAGATGAATTAATGGATGGATGCATGGATGTTGGCCTATGTATGTATGTATGAATGAAAAAAAAATGCAAAGAATACCAACTTTAATTAAAATGTTATTTATAGATGTTTAATTAAATCTTGTTTTTAAAATCACTATCCTATTTGCTACTTAAAGATAAAAGAACAAACAAATGAAGAACACTAGACAATCCAAATTGTCTTTGTTTTCAGAATGATGTCCCTTAGTTCATTAGGAAGAAGACTCATACTGTTTAGAACACGTGTCGCACTCTCTACATTAAGGGTTCTCAACATGTGAATCGCGACCCCCATGGGGACGAATGACCATTTGCCAGGAGTCGCCTAAGACCATCAGAAATTTTTTTTATGGGGCTATTATTCATCCGAATTTATTTCGGGTTTCTAAAGTATTGTAACAAGCATAATTGTATCTTATGAGAGGCACATAAATATTGAACATATTATTAACCATATTATCTCAGTGGTCAAGCCTATCAGAACTAAGGGACTTAACATCATTCAGTTGCAAGAAGAAAAACATTCCTATGTTCAGTACTATTGTAGTATCCACTGGCTTAGCATGGGCAAGGTATAGAGAAGAATATGGGATCTTAAGGAATACATTGTTGTCTTCTTTGAAGGATATTAACTGCGTTTTTTTT